TACAGTGACCTTGTACTTTACTGCTATTCCCACTCGTCTGTTTCCATTAAAATTGATGAAAATTACTTTTGTACCGATATATTTTTATGAACGTTTTCATTAAGTTCAATAAAAAGTGACAAGTGTAGAGAAGAACTCGGTCAGATGAGACCAGAAAAGCCACAAATGTAGGGCTTGTAGCAGGGCAGGCAGCAGTGGGGGGGGGGTGTGTGTACAGAAAGGGATGTGCTACAGGGTCGTAGGAGAAGCAGAGGGGGTTCCATATTCATCTATTGGCCAGCACTTCATTTTTAAAAGGAGAACTAATGGGGTCAGGGCTCATAAGGGTAACGGGAGGACACGAACTAGCGCCCTCCCGTCACCCTAGGCTCAGTAGCTGTTGCTCGCGGTATACTGAGTCGCCGCAGCGGACCCCGACATCGAGATCCGCCCAGCAGCGTGAGTGACGGCCGGCTCTGCCTATCTAGAGGCTGTACCCGCCCCCTCCACCGTCCGTTCCGCCAGTCAGCGCTGGAGGATCGGAGCGGGGAGGGGGGAATCCAGCCCCTCCCTTGTCACGGCAGAGAGCCGTGACAGGATCGAGAGGTGAGCGAACGCCGGCATGTGTTCCCTCACCTCCCGATCTACTGAGCCGACCTGTGACAGTCTCATTGTCACAGGTCGGCTAGAACTATGAGGTGAGTGAAAAGCCCCCTCCCCCCTCATACTTCTCCTTTAAGGCTGAGAATTCTCTCATTCTTATTTTGTGGGCGTTCGCGCTTCCCTAGCGGCTGGAAGTCAGAACATAAAACGCGTAGAGCGGTCTCTTGTCCATACATCACCTTTATTGTGATTCAAATCATCGCAACAAAACCGGTTAAAAAAAAATAATAATATAGATTTTACAATCACAGATGAAGAGCCAAATCGCCAAAAGTGGCTTTAATAAATATGCTGAGTAGGATATATGTGGAAGAACTTTACAAACGTTTGCATTGAACCCCCCGGCGTGGACATCTACGGAGTGCAGCCAATGGAAGAGGCCGCCAAAGAGATGGCTGGGGGGGAGGGGGAGGGGAGAGACATGCAAGCGGCAGGTCATCCTTGGCTCAGAGTTCCGTTGTGTGAGGATTAAACTCTCGCTGAGCTCAGCCACCGTTATACGAGAGCTCGCCCCAAAACTGACAACTTGGTTCTGGGTGACGGGTGAGGAAGAGGTCTCTGCACTTCCTCGGTAAATGCATTAAGACAAAGTGCAATTTTTGCCCCCCTAACCTAACCCACCGCACCCCTCCACGGATGCATACTGACCTCGATCTGATGGTCAGGGGTCTGCTGTTTGTTTGCATTAAGAGGTGCAAGTCTTCACTGTCCTGGTTGTACCCGCACGTTACTGCCCCATAGTCTTCCCAAGGCTAGAGACAATTGGAGATGGTTCCATGGAGGTCCATAGGGCTATGCCCCGAAGCCAGAGACGATGGTCCCATGGAAGTCTATGGAGCTGTAATGCCAAGTGAAGGTGTTCACTGTCCTGGTAGTACCTGCACATTCCTGCCCCATAGTCTTCCCAAGGCCAGAGACAATTGGAGGTGGTCACATGGACATCTATAGAGCTGTGTCCCAAGGCCAGAGATGGTCCCATGGAAGTCTACAGGGCTGTCTGGAGACAGGAAAAGATTGGAGATGCTCACAGGGACATCTACAGGGCTGTGCCCCAAGGGCGGGGATGATTGGAGATGGTCATATGGAAGTAAATGGGGCTGTGTTCTGAAGCCATAGACGGCTGAAGATGGTCCTATGGTCTAAAGTGCTATACCCCGAGGCCAGAGCAATTGGGGATGGTTCCATGGAGGTCCATAGGGCTATGCCCCGAGGCCGGAGACGATGGTCCCATGGAAGTCTATGGGGCCATAATGCCAAGTCCAACTCTTCACTGTCCTGGTTGTACCTGTGCATTACTGCCACATAGTCTTCCCAAGGCCAGAGACAATTGGAGATAGTCACATGGACATCTATAGAGCTGTGTCTCAAGGCCAGAGATGGTCTGATGGAAGTCTATGGGGCTGTGTTCTGGGGTGAGAGACAATTGGGAGATGGTCCCATAGAAGTCTACAGGGCTGTGTCTCGAGGCTGGAGAAGATTGGAGATGGTCCCATGGAGGTCCATAGGGGTATGCCCCAAGGCCGGAGACGATGGTCCCAAGGGCTATGCCCTGAGGCCGGAGACGATGGCCCCATTGAAGTCTATGGGGCTGTAATGCCAAGTGAAGGTGTTCACTGTCCTGGTTGTACCTGCACATTCCTGCCCCATAGTCTTCCCAAGTCCAGAGACAATTGGAGATGGTCATATGGACATCTATAGAGCTGTGTCCCCGGGCCAGAGCTGATCGGAGATGGTCTCATGGAAGTGTATGGGGCTGTGTTCTGAGGCCAGAGACGAATGAAGATGGTCCCATGGAGGTCTAAAGTGCTATGCCCCGAGGCCAGAGACGATTGGAGATGGTCCCATGGAGGTCCATAGGGCTATGCCCCAAAGCCAGAAAGGATTGGGGATGGTTCCATGGAGGTTCATCGGGCTATGCCCCAAGGGCCGGAGACGATTGGGGATGGTCCCATGGAGGTCCATAGGGCTATGCCCCAAGACCGGAGATGGTCCCATGGAGGTCCATAGGGCTATGCCCCAAGGCCAGAGATGATCGGTGATGGGCCTATGGAGGTCCATAGGGCTATACCCTGAGGACAGAGACGATTGGGGATGGTCCCATGGAAATCTATGGGGCTGCAATGCCAGCCTTGACCCGGACAATGAAGACTTGCAGCACTAGATGTAAACAAAACAGCAGAACCGCAGCCATCAGATCAAAGTCAGTATGCATCTGTGAAGGGTGAGGAGGGGGCATAGGTCAGGGTAAAAGGGATAAGTGCACTTAAAGTCTTAGTGCACCTTAATTAAGGCTGATCAAATCCAACCTCCATCCAGCTACGACTGAAGCCAACCGCCAACGTTTTTATGCAGAGCGTCTGAGCCCACGCCATGGCAGACCGCATGCTGACAATCTGCCTATAAAAAGACACAGAGGCCCATCTGTCTTCCTGGCGTAAAATGGAAAGTCTCATTTTGTGGGCTGAAGTAACGAGCGTGAACGCGGCTGATCGATCCATTCCAATCCGCTATCTCATAAATATTAGAAGAGGTGCCGGCGGCTCCTTAATGGAATCCTAATCTGAAGAAAAGCTCAGTGGGGGGGGGGAGGAATCCGAAACTGTACAGAGAGGACTAAAGCAGGATGGTTCCTAAGAACGCGCGCAACGGGCCGACACGATGACTGATCAAATATGGAACCCATTGACATGCACAGTTATAAGATGCAGCTTGATGCCCAAACCCGCAACTAGCCAATAATAGCCCGAGTCCAGCTGACCCTGGAACTGAATACGTTATGGTGGAAGCAGAAGCCACGACTGGCATTCAGGAGAACAAAGCAAAGCCATCTCTACTGGAAGAGCTATAAACAGGATATCAGTATCAACATATTCCTACTTTTAGGGCTTATAGTCAATAAGGTTCCTCATTGTCCACGGTGCCATCTGAAAGCTCCAACTCTTCCTGGGAAGGGGGGGAATTAAGACAGTGTCACCACAAAACAGACACAGCAAGCAATTTAGTCTCAAATGCTCGAGTAAATGTTCTGTTGACCTACAATTGATTATTTACCATTCTCTCGTGGTCCCTGCCGAGGATGAACCCAGTTTGTAACCAAGCCCCCCAACAAGTCCAGATACCAGAATAGGAAGCTGGATGCCTTAGGCATAGAAAAAGTTATTGGCCCAGCACTGCTGAGGACACTCCGCACACCCTCTGATGCGTTTCACCCAGTACTAGGAGTCGGGTTGTCTGAAGCGCTTTGAGCCCTGGCAGAGAGATGGGCTAGGTAGAGTGTCCTGGAACAATAACGTTGTTATGCCCAACGGAACAGCGTTGTGTAATTTGCTATTATGGTATGTGGACTGTCTGGGGGAGGAGTAGATCCCGGAGATGGTGGCACCCACTGGCAACAGTGACAGACCTTTGAGTGGTACTGGGGACACTGTAAGCCCCCTGACAAGTCCAGATGCCAGAATAGGAAGCTGGATACCTTGAGGCATAGAAAAAGTTATTGGCCCAGCACTGTTGAGGACACTCCGCACCCCCTCTGATGCGTTTCACCCAGTACTAGGAGTAAGGTTGTCTGAAGCGCTTTGAGCCCTGGCAGAGCGATGAGCTAGGTAGTGTCCTGAACAGCTGTGTGCAATTGCTATTATGGTATGTGGACTGCCTGGGGGAGGAGTAGATCCCGGAGATGTGGGCACCCAGTACTAGGAGTCAGGTTGTCTGAAGCGCTTTGAGCCCTAGTAGAGAGAGATGGGCTAGGTAGTGTCCTGGAACAATAACGTTTTTATGCCTAACGGAACAGCGGTGTGTAATTTCCTATTATGGTATGTGGACTGTCTGGGGGAGGAGTAGATCCCGTGTCTGGGGGAGGAGCAGATACCGGAGATGTGGGCACCCTGTACTAGGAGTCGGGTTATCTGAAGCTCTTTGAGTCCTGGCAGAGAGATGAGCCAGGTAGAGTGTCCTGGAACAATAAAGTTTTTATGCCCAACAGAACAGCGTTGTGTAATTTGCTATTATGGTATGTGGACTCTCTGGGAGGAGCAGATCCCGGAGATCTGGGCACCCACTGGCAACAGTGACAGACCTTTGAGCGGTACTGGGGACACTGTAAGCCCCCTGACCAGTCTAACTTGAGCGCTTGATATAAAGCGAGGAATATTTTTAAGAAGGTGAACGTCTCACATGCAGGAATGGTGCCAATATTGAGGAGTCATAGACAGGGTGCAGCTCTCACATCCCCTGATCCCAACTGCCTTGATAAATTCCCCCCTAGGGTCAGTGAAGAGATGTCAAGTGAGGAACATCGGCAAGAACCCGGCCGGTGAGCCAAAACCTGATGGTAACCATGTTCACCTTAGAGGGCAAAGTATCTAATGGTGGACACCATCGCACCAAGGCCTACTAAATGCGGAAGCCCTCAGATGGGGGAAGGGGTCACATTAAGGAACGCTTGTGAGTACGAGCCCTTGGTCAGCTTTCACATATGGGGGAATGTACACGTACCCCCTTTATATTACGGAATACCCCCCCCATCCCTTCAAGCGGATGCCTTGCTGTAAAATGTTCAACATTAATACACAGCTGATGTAACCTGCTACACATTACATCAGTCTATAGACTCCCTCATACCCGCGACGCTCAATGAGAATCCCCCCAGGTATTATAAAGCCTCATCTATCCCTTCCCAGCTGCCCCTTACTGCTTCTCCCCCACAAATCTGTTCCTTATCTCCAAAAAAAAGGGCAAGGACCCCCTCCCCCCCGTGACAGAAGATTCACTCTGTGCGGAGTATAATGTGGATGCCGGAATCCGTGAACACTGGACCGCTCATTTCCCCCGGCCTCATAGCAAAGGTAGCGTCTTCGAATGGTTTCTGCATGGCCCCTGCAGGAGAAAACACAGTGACAGACATTTACAGAGAGGAAGGATCCGTGATAGAGAACACAACACAGAGAAGAACACAACACAGAGAAGCAGAAGAAGATTTTCAGTACGTGCGCGAGGCCGCTTTAAGGCCTGGTTCCCACCTGGGCGTTTTACAGCGCGTTCCTCAACGTGTGAAAAGCAATAATTGCCTATGGGCCTGGTTCCCACCTGGGCGTTTTTTTTACATTTCTAATTTAATTTTTTTTTTCCCCCCACTTAACTTTATCGCTATCACACAGGAGCTAACAAGTCCCCCTGTGTGATAGCAATTGGAGGCGACAGGTTCTCTTTATTGAACCCCGTCACCTCCAATACAGGAGATACTGTTTACACGGAGCGGCAGGGTTACTTTAAAGGCCGTGACACACTGCATGCGAAGCAGCGCGGAGCGGGGGCGCGCTGCCTTTGCGAGCAGTGTGTCATGTAATTTTCTCCTCGGCACCTCAGCTTTCGAGAGCTCGCAGAGCGTGCCGAGATGAACAATTTCCAACTTCAGCCAATCGGCTCACGCGTATAAACCGGCGCGTCGCGATGCGACAGCTGGCAGGTTGTTACGGACGAGCCGATTGGCTGAAGGTGCTGTCAATCATCTGACTGCACTCAGCTCACACGCGTGCAGTGTGTCACGGCCTTTAACCCTTCCGCTCTGCTTACGGCGGCGGAGGAGCCAGCGAGGACAGAGGTAGGTGCGGGGGGGATGGGTTTGTGGCGGGGGGACGGACAGACCGGCTGCAGACTTATTATAAGTGATCTCGGCGACATCGCTGAGATCACATGTAAAATGAACAATCGGCTTCCCTCACTCTACATTTAGGCCTGGTTCCCACCTGGGCGTATTTCAGCGTGTAGGAACGCGCTAAAAAAAAACGCCCAAACAAGTACAGGAGCTTCTTTGGGGCGTATTTCAGCGCGTTTCCATTGGTATTCCCGAGTGTGGAATCGGGGTTAACAAAGCGGTAACCCCCGAGCCACACTCGGGAATACAGCGTACCGGTCTTACCTTGTCCGCGATCCCCGCTGTGTCCTCCGGCGACTGCCGACTTCCAGGTTTCGTCCCTTGCGAGCGGCCGCGTCGCAGGGGGACGGAGCCGGCGGGAAGTTTGAAAGTGAAAAAAAAAAAATATATATTTTTTTTTTAAATAGAGAAAATAAGGGGGGGAAAAAAAAATCATACCGCCAGTGAAACGCGCGTTTCACTGAACGAAAAAACTCGCAAAAAAAACGCAAACAAAACTCCACTTTTATTAAAAACTTGATAGAATGTATAAGGCCCCGTTCACACTGAGCGATTTATCGCGCGGTAATTCCCGCAATATCGCGGCTATTTACTGTGCGCTATCGCTCTCCAATGCTTGGCAATGGGGCAAAGGGTCCTGCTGTCGCGGGTCGTGTGTCGCTACAGCAGGACTCTTTTTGGAGCGGATTTTCGTGCGATTCAATGCAAGCATTTGCGTAAAATGCAAATCGCGCAACAAACGCGCAATTTGCGAATCGCCAAGTGTGAATGGGGCCTAAAGCTGAGAATCCAATATGAGGCAAAGTGAAATGATTCAGCCGCTCTATTGCCCACTGAGCCCGCACATCAGTAATGGGAGGTGTGTAGGAAGCAGGAGGGGGGTGGGGATTCTTTTGGAATTCAAAAAGTATAAAAAAGGCAAAAATGTTTCGTTCTGGATAGAGCAGGGAAGAGTTAAAACTCATCAGGTTATTTTTTTCACTGTCTGAGTACGATAGGCCAAATTCCCCTTCACTTCCTGTCCCATAAGATCAACAGGAAGTTAGTAGAAGTCTCCTTGCATCAACTGTCCCATTTGTCATCCCTGCAACATCCTGTCTGTGCCTGCACAGGTGATTTAGAGGGCGGCAACCTGAGAGTTGTCCTGCAAGGTAACAGCCCACCTTCTGGGGCTCTGGTGAAGACCCAGCGCTCCTTAGACCCTGCGCCTCTAGCTCGCCCCCAATAATGTACAGTCACTTCAGTCCTGGTGACCTGCACCCCAGGGATCATTTCACCTCATCCTGTCCTGATCCGCTCTGTAAGCCCCGGAGCCTACGTTTCCCAGACGGTGACATGAGGCAGATGTTCCCGGAACAGGTGTCCCCGTTGGAAGACTTTCCCTCGCCTCTTATTCACAATTTTGGATTTTCCCTTTCATTGTTGGCGACGATGGTCACCAGTAAGGCCCCGTTCACACGTAGCGACATACCTTTTTCAGCAGGCCGGGATAGCGCGACTTTCGGGGCGACGTTTCAGCGACGGTAGCGCGACCTTCTCCGTCGGGCTCCATTAGAAAAAAGCAAAATTGCGGATTGCGAAAAGGGTCCTGTAGAAGCAACTTGCGACCGCGACGCGGAGCTAAGACAGCTCCATTGAATATCATTAGCCGGCGACATCGCGCTATATCGCGTGGCAAAAATGCGATAAATCGATACGCGTGAATGGGGCCTAAGGTTGGACAAGGGCGTGCTCGCAGCTACACGTGCTGAGCCCGCCAGGAAGCTGGCAGCGCCAATCACAGGTACTGAGACACTTCCCGATCTCTGCAGCTGCGGACCTGGAAAATGTCTCCGTACCTGTGATTGGTACGGAGGCGCGTAGCGCTGCGAACGCGCCCGAGCCCATCCTTAGTCACCAGTACAGAGGAACGAATGTACCCAATGGGGACACCGATAGCAATACAAACTTGAGAGGTTCTGACCCTTCCCCACTCTATCCAAAACAAAAAAAAAAGGTTCCATCATCGTAGTGATGTAAATGACGGGCGGCAGCCATGGGAACTGCACTTCTTATATTATATTACAGGCACCACAGACGCCGGTCATTGCCTGTGAGCAGTACAGGGCGGTACGTACTGACAACGCCCCGCTGACAAAATAAGACCTCTTCCTGTGACCCATTCAAGTGAATGTCTTGGGAAAGTAATTATAAAAACATTCCGTACTTCTTTGCAGCTCATTCAAATTTCTAATCAGACCCCTAATGTCACCTAGGGACCCCAAAGAAGCTGATGAAGCCGAGATCTTCTTCACCAGCCGGAGAAATAGCACACTGAAACCAGAGTGATGCAATACTAATCACTTCCATTTTCAGTGATCGGAGGGGAGATCAGCTGCTTGAAGTGCACTGACCTCCCTTCGATTGAAGTGAACCGACCCGCTGTGCCAGTCCCGGGCCCACAGAGGAACCGCGGGGGGCAGATGGGGGGGCGCACACTCCAATGCGGCATACAAGCATTGGGTGGGCTCCACAGCCGCCAGCAATCACTGGCTGTAACACGTTACTGTCCTGCTTGTGCACACGCAAAAAAAAACGTCATACATGTACAGTGACCTGCATTGAAGGAGGAGCCATCCGTCTGTTTATATCGAGGGATGAATTGATGCCAATAATAGTATCGGTGCCGATACCGAGTATTTGGGTGAGTACTCATCCAACTGCTCCGATACCTTCACAGATAACGAAACAGTGCCGCGAGGGAACATGGAGCCGGCTTCCCGGCCAATCAGGAAGGCAGGTAATGACTCGCCGCCGGGTTTCCTGATTGGCCGGGAAGCCAGCTCCATGCCGTTTGGACGGCTTGATGATGATTGGCCGGCAAGCCGGCTCCATGCCGTTTGGATGGCTTGATGATGATTGGGCGGGAAGCCGGCTCCGTGCCGTTTGGGCTGCTTGATGATGATTGGCCGGGAAGCCGGCTCCGTGCCGTTTGGGCTGCTTGATGATGATTGGCCGGGAAGCCGGCTCCGTGCCGTTTGGGCTGCTTGATGATGATTGGCCGGGAAGCCGGCTCCGTGCCGTTTGGACGGCTTGATGATGATTGGCCGGGAAGCCGGCTCCGTGCCGTTTGGACGGCTTGATGATGATTGGCCGGGAAGCCGGCTCCGTGCCGTTTGGACGGCTTGATGATGATTGGCCGGGAAGCCGGCTCCGTGCTAGCGGAAGTACTGGTATCGGAAAGTACTGAAATAGAAATATTGGTACTCGTACTCGATACTGAAAAATTGCTATCAGTGCATCCCTACTGTGTATAGCAAGAGGTTAAAAAGGTCTGAAACCGATTTCCAGGTCCGGTAGACTATTTACCTCGTGCAAACGCTCCCAAATCCCCTCCGGCTTTGGCAGAACTGCAGTCGCTGAACTGGGAGGCTAGAGCTTCGAAATCCTCATCACCAGACTTGATTTTCTGTATATAACCTACAAAGAGAACAAAGAAAACGGATCAGCACCAGGAAATGTCCGAGCAGAACGCCAATTCATTGCGCGTCGCAATCAGCCCATCAGATCTCAGCAGGTTTCACCCCCACCGGCCCCATTATTAGGAAGGACTGATAGCACAGCAAACTCCATGCGGTCAGCCGTGCTGCACAAGGCACTTCATTCACAATACGCTCTCACTCACCACGTCGGTGCGATTTGGAATTCCTGCGTCAGAAACTTGCGATTTCCTGCAGCAGGAGTTCCAAATCTTTCGTTTACAAGTGGCAGTGGTCACATGTTCAAGTGACTGCATTTTAAAGCGGCAGAACGCTGGCACACTGTATGCAATCGTATCTGATACAATAACATGTGGTGAGGAATCAATCACTATCCCTGGACGTGCGATCGGTGCCCGCCGTGCCGGTTCCAGCCACACGGAGTACAGCAGGACCTGGGATAGCCGGTGGCGGAGCACACTCCCAGGCACCATGCAAGCGATCAGGTGGCTCTATAGCCGCCCGAACACTTGTATGGTACAGCTATAGCTGTGAACGGTTACCCAGAGAGACAAGTTTAATACAAAAGCGCCAAACACTTTGTCCAGGGGATGAAACAATCTTCAATGATCGTAGTAAAAAAACGCTCGAGAGGCTGCTCTCACTTGGTTATGGGAAACCTCGGTACTGCAATATAGAAAACACAGAGAGCGCCTCCATCGCGTAAAAACTTTTTAATAAAACAAGATAAAACAAATGCAAATGGTACTCACAAAGGTCGAGTTAAAACAGGCATGAAAATGGTCTTTACACGATGGACCCAGCCAGCCAGCTGTTCGTCCCTCCCGATTGTTGACGCGTTTCTGAGGACACGCCTCCTTCATCAGAACCAATACCCAGACAGACGTGCGCACGGGCGGGTGGCAGGAAAGTACTTTCAAAACGCCCTCCCGCCATTATGAATGAGCCGTCCGGCCATTTATATACAATCAGCCAGATGACAAGGGGTTAAAGCGCCCCATCCCCACGTACAAGCACTGTTGTTCCCCGTGGTCCCTGTGTGTGTTGTCAAGCAGCCCCGCTCCAAACTACCCCCCGGGATGGACTACAATCTCAGGTTTAGTTAACTAATTAGTATTGAGATTGTAGGGGGAGGAGCTTGGAGCGGTGACTACTCTACAACACACACAGGGACCATGGGGAACAGACGTAGCCCCCCTCCAGAAGGAAGGACGGTGTCAGAGATGATTGGAGGATCTCCAGCCGAGTGATACCCAAATAAGATACATTGTTGTTCAGAGTTCGGGGACTCGGAGGGATTTATCTCCGGAGTTTAGTGTCACTTTGGAGAAGTGGTCTCATCATATATTTCTTCTCTCATCTGGTCTCCTATGGGACCAAATGCATGTAGCGCTTTGCCCTGTTTTGATAGGTGGCGTGCATCCCGAGCAAGTGTGGTCAACAGTAGCCCGGCACTCCAAGGTAGAATAACGTCTCTTTATTGACGTTACATGCAACAACCTGTGTGTATTGTTGCATGTAACGTCACTAAAGAGACGTTATTCTACCTTGGAGTGCCGGTGTCCATAATTTCCTATATCCTATTCAGACGGTGGCCATCCGTCGACTACTGATGCACCCAACCTATCAGCGGTAAGGAGTGCAATGGGTACACGGATTGTTACTGTCAACAGTAGCCCACCCCCCC